ATCCACTCAAGCACAGTATCTGAGGACCAGATCTGGCAAGCCAAAGGAGTGTTCTCAAACGTGCTCGAAACGACATCTCAGGAGTCGCTAGCACATGAAGCTGGGAACGGAAACATCCATTTTCTACAAGTCATATTCGAGGGAGCTTTCAGCATGGAGATTATTTATTCTCCATCCCAAGGTGCTGCAGTTGATCCTGATACTTACAAAAAGAGACTGGAGGACCTCGAATCGTCGTTTCCGAAGCGGGTTGACGATGCTTTCCCTAGAGACGATGGCTATCACTACACACGACACGGAGATTTCGTGCAGGAGATTATATCAAATCTTCAAGGTGGGCTTGGATTCTTTCATGGCGATAGTAAAAAGGACATCTCTTATGCCCCAGAGTACCAAGAGACAGATTTGGATTTCTGGACCAAGGCTCGCGAGGCAATGGATCGAGCCACTATTACCATGGTAGAGCCAATGTCTCTCCTATCACATACACCGTCACGATCTTCCTATCCCCGCGGATTTCTTTGGGACGAGGGATTTCATCTGCGAACCATCATGGAGTGGGATTTTGACTTTGCTGTCCTTGTCCTCCAAAGCTGGCTTAACCTCATGGACGAGGATGGATGGATTGGACGTGAACAGATCCTAGGCAAAGAAGCAAGAAGCAAAGTCCCAGGGGAATTCCAAGTGCAATATCCGCACTATGCTAATCCACCAATGTTTGAGTCAGTTCTATTGCCCGCCTTTTTAGCGAAGATAACGGGAGCATCAAAGTACGGTGGAAATCCGTCCAAAATCCTTGCATCAGCCGCCGAATCGAAATCTATACTAGAGAAGATCTATCCACTACATGCGCGACGCTACGCGTGGTTTCGTCGCACCCAGTCAGGAAACTTCACTGCTGGTTATGCCCGCCCAGAAGGAACCGTTGATGGCCATGGCTTTCGTTGGCGTGGCACGACTCCAGGTCATTGTCTGACGAGCGGATTGGACGACTACCCACGGGCAAATCCGCCTCATCCAGGGGAGCTGCATGTGGATGCCCTCGCATGGGTCGCTTCTTCGGCAAAATCGCTACAAAAAGTAGCAGCCTATTTGGGCAAGGAGCAAGAGGCAGAGGATTATTCAAAAGACTACAAGTCTGCCCTTCACAACCTGGATACTGTGCATTGGAATGATCACGAGGCCTCCCATTGCGATACCAGCATTGAGGCAAATAACGAGTTCCGGCACGTATGCCATGTCGGATACGTTACTTTGATGCCACTCTTTCTGGGCCTACTGGACGCGAATCACCCTCGGCTACCAGCCATTCTCGATCTTGTATCAGACCCTTCGAAGATGTGGTCACCGCATGGCATTCGCAGTCTTAGTGCGCAAGACTCTGAGTACGGTACAGGTGCCGACTACTGGCGGGGCCCCATTTGGATCAATCTAAACGTACTTGCAGTACTGCATTTGTCGGAGCTTGGCAGCGCAGACGGGCCGGAGCGAGAGAGGGCACAAAATCTTTCTCTAAGCCTAAGAGATCGACTGGTCAATTCAGTCTTCAGCGATTGGAACGACACTGGCTATCTGTGGGAGCAATACAGCGATAAAAACGGACGTGGTCAGAGGAGTCATCCATTTACGGGCTGGACCGCTGCAATCATTCTTCTTATGGGTATAGCAAAGAAGCAAGAGCAGTCTGGAACAGAAGATATGGAACGACATACCAATGTTTTGCTGACATCAAGTGTTGCGGTAGCCGTCCTGTTGACCGCGTGTTTGTTGGGGTTGGCGGCAAAGAAGAAATTGCTCCACTCTGGCACACGCTACTTGCTTCGGTGGTGGGAACGAATGGTAAGAGGAACTGATAAGCACGCTTATGAGCAAGTTGTGGATTTGGAGGATTTGTAGTGAGGAAAGGTCAAGGAAGGCCATGGCCTCTTGCGTAGCATTCATTGATCTGTGGCAATTGATCACGCGAATACATGTGTACTATCATGTGAACACAGCTGACGAAATCTCAACTTTGATTGCGTCAATTCTACATCGACTCGATACAGACCCATCATCCCTGCAGCAGCGCACAAATGCTTTCAAATATGGGCTGTCTGAATGGAAAGCGTCCTGTTTTGGAGGTTCTCATTGGCTTACTCTACTTGCGCAGTTGCTAGCCTTTGTTTTCGGCTTGTCCTATCCTCGACTTGGATTACGCGATGCCGTTTGCAGACATCCAATAGCAGGCTGACCGTTGTGGCTGACACTATGGGTGATCCATAGACCTCCGCACGCAAAGTCCTTGCTCATGCCGTACCCTGTCATCGTGGTGGGCATCTTGGCTGGAGCGTCGGAGCTGCGAAAAAAGAGTGCCTAACTAGAAGTGCTGGTAAAGGCAGCTTGGATTCATGCCATGTACTGCGCCAAGGCTCAAATACCGGTAAACCCCGAATTTCAGCCTCACGGTTTGTCTTACAAGGCTAAGGATCGAACTAAGCAACGATTATACTCTCTCATTACGGCTCCTACGCTTAGTCCTGCCATAAAAATACCGTAAAATCTAAGCACAGACGACTATGAATCTGGAGGAAGAAGAACATGCGCTTGGCCCATGGCCACGGCGATTGCTCTGCGTTTCCAATCTCACATCGTACGCTTGGCAGCCTGGCAACGTGTATAATGGTGTCAAAGAGCCACAATACAACGCTATTACTTATACGTGGGGACGCTGGAGGCTTAAAGATGGCGAACAACCTGACACTAAGTCCATTCCCATTTCGATTAATGGCGATGATTGGACGATCCCAAGAGTGGACCCTAAGCATTTCACAACTGCCGAGTTCGAGAATGTCATTAGGGCAACTACAACACTACAACCTAATTTTCGATCTCCGAACAACGTCGAGTTTGTTTGGCTTGATATTGCATGCATCCACCAAGGAGACGATCCTAGATCTGCAGCAGAAATCGGACGACAGGCTGCCATCTTCCACGGCGCAAAGGCAGTCTTTCTTTGGCTGACCACCCATTCTCATCGTTCACTAGAACGTGCCGTAGACGATATCTGGGCATTTTATGGCGGTGATGTCTCTGAGCATACACCTCTTCATTCTCGATCGCTAAGGAACTTGCGTGGGCTACTAAATGATCCATGGGTAGGTGCACACAATACATACCTCATAGAACTGTGTAACTGATGTTCCTTCCTTGCTTCTAGTTCACTTCACTCTGGACATTACAGGAGGCTTTCCTTCGACACGATGCATATGTGCTATCAAGAGATGCACAGCTAGTCTATCGACTTGCAATGACAGAGCCTCCAATTCGACTACATGTATGTTCGCTGTATGATTTGTTATTTCCGTGTGCATTTTGGAAGGATGCCAGCGAACATGTAACTTCGAGACGATCAGAATCAGTCGAACTAGAATACCAGGCTGCTTTTCGTCTAATCGAATCAAGAGGTCTTGATGCTCTGTACTCAAGACACGAGCTCAACACATACATTGCAGCAAATTCACGAACAGTCTCACATGAAGAAGATAGGATTTACGGCATACAACAGGTTTTTGGGCTTCGGCTTGGAAAGTCAAATCCTTCCCAAAGTCATCAATCTCCCGATCGCCATGATCTCGAGGCTGAATTTGGGGAGCAGTTGCTTTTGCAATTCCCGATCCAAAGCCAGATGCATGTTTTCACGGAAAATGTTCCAGTTGCTCTACGATGGAGGGTTCACCCCTGTTCACGCAAGCTCGGGAAAGAAGCATTTTCGGCTCCGCGAATGCTGGAAGAATGTTTTTATCAAGGCAAAGACTCCAGCATAAGTGTTTGCTGTCGCTTCTCAATCGAAGAACTCGACACTCTGGATCGACCTGTGTCGTGGACTGGTTATACAATACCATTCAGGTTGTTGAACGATCGCTGGAATGCTATATGCAGAAAGATCTACTCGATCCAATTCAGAGACATTGATGACGAAGGGGTTTACAACGTGGAGTCGCCATACCCTTTATTTGTTGAGCTGGATGCAGTTGAGGAAACGGCTGAATATCATTGTACAAGAGGTAAAGCAGGCTTTGAGACGGAGGGGGCGGATTTGAAAAAAGATACCAATGCGATCGGATGGCTGGTGCAAAGGTATCGTGACGATGAACTCCGCGTGTTACTGTTGGGGTTTTGCTGGTCACTGAGAACGACCGTAAGATACCAAGACGGCATGTATGGTATAATCCTTTTAAGTGTTGGAAGTCACTGGGCTCGAGTGGGCATATGTCAATGGTCTCATCAATTCGACTGGACATCATTACATCTCGGTCTGACGGAGGACGAACAAGACTTCCTCCGGGGTTCTGGAAAGGACTGGGTGGACGGGAAAGGTGTTCTTGGTTACTCGAATCGGGTGCCCCACGGATCTCCGAGAATGGGTGTTGTTTCCTAGAGCTTCTATCCAAATCCCAATCAGCTTTTAGCAAACACTCAACGTTTATAAAGACGTCCTATGCATCTACGTAGATCAATCCATCTCATCTGAAGTTCTCATATCTGTTCCTACACATCATCTGCATTCTCTAGAGGAAGTGCGAATAATCTCGAAGTGGCAAAGATCGCAGCGCGAGCTCGAAGAGCCTGAAGGCCTTTCATTACTTGGCGTGGACTACGATGCAGAGAAGAAATTATTGCCATCACACAGCAGCAGGATAGTAGCGAGAACTAAGGATGGAGATGTGCACATGTGGGAAGGAAAGGTGCAACCAGACATAAGAGGGAGCAGGAAACCTGCGCAGGCCCGCGCAGCCTCCTTCCTCCGAGTACTCAACATGATTCTTTCGTTGTCACTTTGATTTTGGTTGGGTTGAGACTAAACTTAGCTAGCGGCTGGTTCCGAGCGCACGAAAGCCGCTTAATTCCAAGGAAAAAATTAAGTTTTGAATGTTGACAATAAGTGGAGATCCTTTTCGATAATCTATGCTGTTGAACAAAGTATATAGAGTTTGAATAACTAAAAGTATTATAAATTCACAGGGCATGTAGCTCAGTGGTAGAGCGCTCGCTTTGCATGTCATGTCTGCGAGAGGTCTAGGGTTCGATCCCCTACCTGTCCACGTCTGCGTTTGGTGTTTCTTTTTGCCAATTAATTAACCGCACTTACACTTAATTTTTGCTCAAGGCATTGGAATTGCAGCACTCTATTTTTCGCATCGATGTGGCGCATCTCGTCGCTCTTGGCACGAATTCCCGGTCGCCAAGGGCCATGACCCGATCGGCAAGAGCAGACGCGCCGGGAGCTAATTTGTTGACTACACCCTCTCCATGGCGACCACGCCAGCAACTCCGCCAGAAACATGAGGTTCCGCAGGTCTCAGGCATGGCAAGCGGCCGCCGCCATTTGCTTGCTCGGCGGAGTCGCTCGCGCTTCGCTCGGTGACAGGTTGCCCGACTTCAAGGAGTGCATCAAGGTAGGGGACACTTGGTGCTTGGAAGCTCTCTGCTTGTACTCACTTAGACCAGGTTTGCGAAGAAGCAAACTGCGGAGACGAACCCTCACCTATCCGTAAGCTCTCGTCTTCGAGTCTACCTTGTCTGAAGCTAACCACATGCCAGCCTTCCACCGCCGCGTCCTCTTCTGGGACTGCCCCTCGGAATGCGACTACACCTGCCAGCACGTCGTGACGGACAAGCGCCTCGCCCGCGACCCGCCCTACATGCAGCCCGTCTACCAGTTCCACGGCAAATGGCCCTTCTACCGCTTCATGGGCATGCAGGAGCCCTTCTCGGTCATCTTCTCGCTGTTCAATTTCCTCGCGCACGACTGGGGCATGGGGCAGATCCGCGAGCGCATACCGGCCTCGTACTCGCTTCGTAAATACTACATGATGTTTGGATACTTTGGGCTTGCGAGCTGGACGTTTAGCATACTTTTCCACACGAGGGACTTTAATGTCACGGAGAAGTTAGATTATTTCGCGGCGGGCGCAAGCGTGCTGTATGGGCTGTACATGGCGCCGATACGGATCTTCAGGCTGGATAAGAAGGATGCGTCGAGGCAGAGCTTGCTGAGGCTGTGGACCGCGCTGTGTGTGCTTCTGTATACGCTGCATGTCCTGTATCTCTCGCTCTGGAGCTGGGATTATACATACAACATGGCCGCAAACGTTGCGGCTGGCGTGGTGCAGAATATTCTGTGGAGTGGCTTCAGTTTCGTGCAGTACAAGAAGGTGGGACGAACGTGGGCGATGTGGCCGGGTCTGATTGTCGCGTGGCTGATCATGGCCATGAGTCTGGAGTTGCTCGACTTCCCGCCGTGGATGGGCATGATTGATGCGCATAGCTTGTGGCATCTCGGGACCGTGGGACCGACAATCTGGTGGTACAAGTATGTCACTCGCGAGTATGCTCGAGATCACCAATGGCTGACTGGACTAGCTTCCTATTGAGAGACGCGCAGGAAGATCTTGCAGGTACGCGGTCCAAGCGTGGCTGAGGGGACGCATGCACACCCTTCGTACGCTCTGCTTAACGCTTACGCAACTCCCTAGGCAATCTACCCGAGACTGATTTTGGCTTAGGATCTCGCAAGGACTAATCGAGGATGGCATATACTGCTTGAGCACGGCAATGGATTGTTTATAGGGAGACTTGCATAGCTTGCGTACACTGTTGGATATTGATTCAGGACTATATACTCATGGTACCCAATGGGCTAACCTTTGTTAAAAGGCGTGCTGAACTATGACATTTCTCGTGACAATGGATCCGTAGCCGAGTGTCCTTGTGCCGATCTACCCAATCCGTAGTTGAAACCCAGCACCCTTCTGCTCTTCCTCCCGACCCGCAAAAATGCTGCTAAAATCAAGCTCTCCACCGCCAATCTTGGGTGCATCCCCTCGTCTCGGTGCGTTGGGACTATGCTTCCTCCTCTTCTCCTGCCCTGCCTTACTAGGGAAAGACGGGAACATCTCCGGCGGCATAGGCCTTGGATTCTCTGTAAAGTACGGATGCTGAAGCATTTGCTTTGCGGTAGGTCTGCCGGCTGGGTTTAGACTCAACAACGACGTGAGCAGCTCGGCGCCTGCATTCGTCAAGAAGGTGAACTTTGAGCGAATAACACTTCCGGATTTAGTGTCCCGCGGTATCTTCAGCGCCTTTGCGTTGGGGAGCCGGTAGAAGCCTGGCCAAGTCTTGTCGTTTGGTAAACCACAGAGGGCGAAGATCTTGCTCAGCTCGTCGACCTCGTCCTTGCCTTGCAGAATCGGCTCCTTGGAAAGGAGCTCGCCGAAGATGCAGCCGATGCTCCACATGTCGATCTCGGGGCCGTAGTCCTCTGCACCGAGAAGGAGCTCTGGAGCGCGATACCAGAGCGTCACGACGAGTTGGGTCAAAGGAGCGTGCGGAGGTGGAACGTGGCGTGCCATGCCAAAGTCTGCAAGTTTGAGCTGGCCGCGGTTGTTGAGGAGTATATTGGAAGTTTTGAGATCGCGATGCATAATGTGGTTCTCGTGAAGAAAGCCCACGGCAGAGCCAAGCTGCCTGAGCAATGTCTTGACTTCGGAAGGCTTGAACGGGTCGAACATGTCTTCTTCTAGCGTCTTGAGGTCGTGCTCTATGAATTCCATGACCATGACTACATCGTCAAGACCGTTTCCCATGACAATTTCTCTTAGGTCGACAATGTTGGCATGGCGCGCTTGCTGGAGGATCGAGATCTCACGGAGAGCTGTGATGGGGAAGCCGTCCTGGTTGTAGTCCATCTTGATCTTCTTGAGTGCGACGACTTCGCCAGTGGAAATGGCTTTGGCGCGCGACACCCAGCCATAGCTGCCTTCTTCTATGTGGTTCAGGGTCTCGAAGTTGGAGGTATGGCGGCAAGGACCCCAGCCCGGGGCCTCGAATCTAAGGAGTTTGCGCTCCCCAAACTGCGGCTGCGCATCCTCTTCGCCATCTGGAGAGAGTTTCCTCTTCTTTGATGGTCGTTCATCTGACCGCTGGACACGCTGTTCAGCACGTGCTTTGGCTTCTTCCTCTGCTTGCTGCTTTGCGAGCTTGGCGCGCTTCTTCTCTTCCTTCTCCTTCTTACGGCGGTCCTTCTCAGCCCGGTCGCCCTCCTCGTCTGCCCAACGCGATGCGCCTGCCATGTCGAAGTTGTTTGGCTGGTCGAGTCGTCCCGTGAACTGGCGTGTGATTGGTGTTGACATTGGATCAGGCCTGCACGTGGCGAGGTTTCCTGGGTGGTCATAGCTCCCTCTGATTTCCGAGTTCCGCAGCTTTTCTTGTCCCGCGATGCGCGTCATGGAGCTTCGAATACGCGAACAATGAGGAACAGTACCCTCAATGCTTTGAGACGAGTAGCGCAATATCACCGACCCAGGACAGCGGCACCAAACGCGGCCTCGTGTGGAAAGAGATGGAACTCGATCGGCGAGCGTCAATGGTCGACTCCACTCGCAAAGTCGCTTGCTAAAGCTATTACAGTACAGCTACTCCATTCCTTGACTCGAAATTTATATTATTCTGACAGTCTCCTTAGACCACAGGCCCGATATCCGTCGCCGCGTACATGCGCCAATGCCTCACAGCTCCCGAAGGAGGATATTACACACGCCAGACCGAAGGACATGATCAGTTTGGCGCCAAAGGCGACTTCATAACTTCTCCCGAGATCAGCCAAGTCTTCGGGGAATTGATTGGGATATGGTTGTATACCGAATGGGTGGCACAGGGCAAGCCGACAGAAAACGTGCAGATAATCGAAGTTGGACCTGGACGAGGCACGTTAATGGCCGATGTGCTGAGGGTATGCCACTCCAATCGTTATGGTATGAAGACACTGATGATCATAGACCATATCTGTTTTTGATAGCTTTTCACGAAGCGTCAGCGATGTCTACCTCGTCGAGGCGTCCCCCTACCTCCGTGACCAACAAGCCAAACTCCTCACGCGCTCAAAGTCACTACATGGAACTGAGAAGGCATCTCAATCGAAGATTCTCCCCGGTGTCAATATAACATGGTGTGATATTATCAAGGAAATTCCCCCCAATAACGCTGGCACCCCATTCATAATTGCCCACGAGTTCTTTGACGCCCTTCCAATCCATGTCTTCCAGAATTCGTCCTCCGCCATTCCAAAGTCCTCGACTATCATAACTCCAACTGGCCCAATCAAGCCTCGCCAACCAATAGAGCCCACGAACCAATGGCATGAGCTGCTCATCTCGCCGAAAGGACCCTCGTCCACTTTGACTACAACGACAAGCGTCTCCTCGTCTCAGAAGCATGAGCAAGAAGAATTCCAACTCACACTCTCCAAATCACCGACCGCTCACTCTCTCCTGCTTCCAAAGCGCTCCCAGCGCTATAAATCTCTGTCCAACACCCCCGATGCCATCATCGAAATCTCCCCCGAATCTCTCGACTGCGCCGCAGCCATCGCGACCCGCATCGGTGGCTCGCCCTCCTCCCCAAAACATAAGGCCTCAGGCGCAGCACTGATCCTCGATTACGGGCCCAAGGACACCATACCCGCCAACACGCTGCGCGGCATCCGCGCCCACCGCCCCGCATCCCCCCTCAGCAGCCCAGGCCTCGTCGATCTCTCTGCAGATGTGGATTTTATTGCCCTGGCCGAAAGCGCGCTCGACGCAAGCCCGAATGTAGAAGTCCACGGGCCGGTCGAGCAGGCTTTCTTCTTGGAGACAATGGGCATTAGGCAACGAGCTGAAAAGCTAGTTGAAGCGGCCAGGGCGAAAGGAGGGCCAGGGGACAAGGAGCTGGAGGAGAATGTTAAGAGTCTGGAGGGTAGCTGGAAGAGGCTTGTTGATCGCGGGCCCCAAGGAATGGGTCGTTTGTACAAGGCGATGGCTATCGTGCCGTATAACAAACAGGGTGTGCGGAGACCTGTTGGGTTTGGGGGGGACTTTGCGTAAGATATACCAAGAATTCTTGGACCTATGTACACTTGGTGAGAATCCATGTAGGATATTGGGAGAACACATTCCGCATTGAAACGTACGAATGCTGGTATCTCTAGAACTATTAACGTAGGGAGACTTGTCGCACAACGCGCTTTGGGATTGGACGTAATAATCCGCCATGCTAATCTATA